ATGTTCTCCACAGTTAAAGAAAGTTGGATTATTACTCCTACAGTCAATAGCTCGGTGGCATGGCTTTCCATATTTGAATCAATTCACAGTTGTACTATTGCACTCAGAAACACGATATCTAAAAACATCACATCTAAAACATCTCACAAAAGTATGAGTCCTTCCATCACTTTGTTATTTCCCATCTATAGCCTTCTGATCTGCCTTCTCCTTCCCTTTGTCAGCTGGAGCATTATACGGTTTCCCACAAATCTGACTCTTCCCTTTCTTCTCACTAATACTCTTATAGTGAGCAGATTAGGGTCTGTTATCTTCATCATAAATTCAACACTTATTCACCAGTACAAAAAATCATCGGATCTCTTGATATTCAATACCTTGTTTGATATCGGGACGCAATCTACTCTCAAACGTGATACACTTCGAACCCTCAACAACCACACTATTATAATGTGGACAGAACTTCACTAGCTCCTTAAACTTGGTAATATACTCAATGACTTTCGAATTCCCTTATTTTAACTCAAGGAACTCGATCTCCTTTTTACTGCATACATCCTCAGGGAAATACTTCTCTAGAAACTACCATTTGAACAAAGCCCAGGTAACTTCAACACCAACAACCTCTAGTATCTGATGCACATTATTCCACATGTCTTCAGCTTCCTCTGACAACATGTGAATACCAAACAATGCTTTATATTCCTCAGTAAAAGCCATCATTCAGAAATTTTTTCAATCTCCCCCAACCATGCCTGAGCACCCTCAGAATTATATCTGCCCTTGAAAGTTGGTCCTTCTATGAAATTTCCCCAATCCACATAACTTGTCACCAACCTGATTCTTCTGACCATGCAGCGCCTGAGTCACTGACTCTAAAGCATCAACAATTACACGATCGTTTATTCCAGCCATTATGCACACCAGTAAACAGACATTACAAGAAACATGCATCGATAGTGTTCATACACATGTCGCATACTAGGAAATAAACATTGTGACAACAACCTGGACGGACGTACCGACCTGTTTTGATGCCACTATATAATACCATACTTTCCGACTCGGCAACATATTAAATAAATATGTATATCACTATTATTCACCAAGTAGAATGCCACTCACAACCATCAAAATATTTTGAACCAAATAATAATAATAAAAAACTCATTAGATAAGTAGAGGAAAACTATAAAACATTTGGCATTAAAGCCTCATTAACATTATTAGTTATAAAAAGCGGTTTAAAACATCATGAATCAACAAAAAGATATGCAACATAAAGTAAACAACAAAACAACTTGTTCCCCTCGTGTTACATATCAGAGTGACTTCAACTATAAACTTGAACAACAAGCAACTAAAGAGGCACAACATCATCCTCAATCTCAAGTACCTAATCATATGTACTCTAGAGGATCACAAATGCAATAACACAAAAAAAAGGGTGAGAATATATTCAAATAATAAATAGTGCATAAACAATCAAGATAGATTCACATACTAAAAAATCATCCACATATCAAAATACACATCAACATGATGTATTCACATCTCACCATATCACAGTCACTCACACAATCATTTAAGAGTATTTATCATCACACAAACATCTCATCATGTAATATTAATCACCCACTATGAACCGAACTCACGACTCATCTTTATATGCATACAATACTGACTAAACATTTGGTTCTTCATACGAACCAGGTTTCAATCAGTTGTGACCCCCGAGCCCCCACTCTGAGCTCCAAGCCCCCACTATAAGCTTAGGACAAGCCATTAATCCCCACTTTAAACTAGTGAACATGCATCTTTCATAACAACGATAACATATGATGCATGGCACATCACAATGCAATGACAACAATATAACAACGAATGCAGACCCACCCAGAATGTAAATAATCACACACAACAGTATGGTAAAGATTATATCCCCACTCTGACTGAAACCACTCACACATTCATTGCGCCATGAGTAGTTCTCACTCTGAACCACTCGCCTCATCAATCATCATAACCATGTACAATTATCATACAATTATGCACATGATTCACAACATATATCCATACAATAATCATACACTCAAATAACAAATTAGTTTACCAAAACACTACAACTATGTAACTTTATGTGTTATCTCTCTAATGCTCCAAACGACACCTTATTTAGACTTAAGAAACCAAAGTTATGGCCAAAATCATCGGGGAATTCTCATGGTTTAACTTCGAAAAAATTTCAAAAATTGTTCAACATCAATTGATTGAAATATAATGTCATTAGATTGACATTATTTCACTTTGCTCACTGCCTAATCAAAAACTCGCTTCATTACTCAATGTAATCGATTAATTAAAGGAAAAAATCGATTGTCACTTAATTTTTTTCCAAAAACACACTCATGAAATTGATCGATATCTTGTGTCAATCAATTGACATTGCTAAAAGTTCCCAAAATATAAGAATGCAATCAATTGACATATAACGTCAATGATTGACATCATACAATTTTCCAGAAAATCCAATTTTCCCAGTATCGTTCAGATTCCTCATCACCCCTCTCTTATCCCTCAAACCAGTCCCCATTGCAACAATCAAAACATAACAAAATCATATTATAATAGGACAAACACATCAAGCATCCCCAGAATGACAGAGATTTATTGTTTTATAATGGATTGATCTATTGGAGTCATGCTTTAAAATCCCAAACTTCAACACAACTTCATTATACAATCATTTGATTCATGAACACACAACAACAACATAATTTATTACATCAATTTATGGTAAAGTAGAATCATAAACACTCATCTAGTATACTCATAGTCAAACAATATAGAAAACACAAAACCCTATTGGAGGTTAAGGAAAAGTTGTCTACCTTTTCATGATATAAGCACCCTTAGATGAAGAATCCCCCCATTTACCTTATAATTCTAACAAAATCCGGAAAAACAAGCTCCTATGGGTTTTCCCTCTCAAACCCTAACTCTCCCTTCCAATATTCTTGTTTTCTAAACCCCTTGTTTTCACATACTAACACAACAGGCTCTAAAACCTAATTTATCTATTTTTTGAATAAATAATATTCTAATAACTCTTTTTAATTATGATATTTGCCCAACTAACATACAACTTCTATCCACTTACCACATATTTCCCTTAATTAACATAATTGACCCAACTCCTCATATTTACCAACTTTCTAATTATTTAATTAATTAAATATTACTAAAATAAATGATTAAGCATAATCCTCCAAAAACACTACTCACCGACCCAACCACTCAAAATCACAAATAATTATTTAAATAATTCACTCAATCAAATAAAATAAATAATTAAATAAATAACTGATTAAATTAGGGTGTTACAGTGGTTTGTTGCCTCTTCGTGACGGTGAAATGGGCAGTGAAAGCCTCACACGGGTCAAACCAATAGTTTATACTCCCGTTTAGAAGGGACTTGTACTAGGCTAGGGATGATTCGATTAGGGTTAGTGCAAAGACCTTGTACTTCACGTCTCCGTTGACATGATAATAATCCAATCGATCATCCACATGCTTGACGTGCTCATCTGGATCTCTAGTCTCGTTATAACTCTGAAGCTTCAGAGTATTCTCTTGTGACTTTGGGATTTTGTTGTCCATGATGTGAACAGATAGAGGGTTATTCTACCACAACTGAATGAGAGCCTCTTCTTCATACATTTCCCTCCTCCTAGGACGACAAACTTCAGAAGGAATGTAGTTACCCCTTCCTTGAGAATCAGGGGAAGGAGTACGACGTCTTTGTTGTCGGAAACTTGGAGACTTTTAAAACTCATTTTGATCCTTTCTCGGCTCAGGAATGGCAGTTTTATGCGAATATACCTCTTGTACAATGTTATTCCTCAGATTGGCAATGTGTAAACTTTCATCAATCCAAGTCAGCCTATTTGCCAAGGCATGAGAGTTCTACTGATTGATCATTTGGTAGACCATGCTCAATAGTTCGTTGGCTCTTTACAAGCTAAGATTTTCCTGCAACAGTTGAAAGTTGGGGATCCTTTCTTGTTCGGCTATTGTAGGCGGTAGCGAAGGCCTGAATCATGGTTCACCTAGTTGAAACTACGTTGTAGATCCTAGGAACGAAGGAAGTTGAGATGCTATTTAATCTTCCCCGGGTTGCATAAACTTTTTTAGTAGGGGAAGAAAAGGAGCAATTGTTACTATTTGATCACGCGTCTTGAGGAGGAGGTGAAGGACTCCTGAAAACTTTGCTCTTTGCAGCAGTCTGTCATTGGATGACAGAGCAAGTGGCTTTGGAAGTCGCAATCGTTGACAGATCTGATGGAGAGGAATTAGAACCTGAATTTGACAAAATTAATCAGGAATTAGAGTTACATGATTCAATCAAAGGATATATGAATTTTTGTCGAGGGTGGTTCAGTTGGATCGATAGGAGTTAAATCGGGGAAAATTGCAGGAATATGAAGTCGATTCGCACAGATGACACTAATATTCTGTACCGGAACTAGAGATGATCAGGAAAAGTAGATTCGTAGTCTGTTATTGTGGTTTATGGCTTATGATGCGATGGAGAGGGGGCTGACTTGCAAGGTCAACACTCCAATACTTAAGTCATTAAGAGAATGCGAAGTGAAATTTAAATGGAAAAGAATTTGAATACTTGAGAAAGGACACATTCTTTTATTTAAATAGGAGAATTCGTCAGCAATTAAACGTATGTAAATAGGCTGCATAGCGGCCAACCGTCACATGAATTTGGACGGTTGGAATAGCGCTTGCTAGGGAGATTACTTGTTTGGAAGAGAAAAGGGTAAAGGTTGTCGGAATCGAGTTTTTTTCTTGACACGTTTTAACTAGGTAAAATAAAAATGTAAAATCGAAACGTAAAATCGTAGATTTTACATCATAAGATGAAAGTAAGTGCAACAAAAATATTATCCAAACAAACAAAAATTCCATAAATATTTTCATCTTCGTCTTTAACTTAATTGAAAGTTCAATCCTTTAATAACATCATTTTCATCCATGTCTTCATCTTCAACTTGATCAAATTCATCTCCAAATGATAAAGGTTCTTCAATATTAGAACCAAAGCCACAATTGTTTGAAGGTGAAGCCGAAGGATTGCTTGAACCGGTAGTTTCACAACCAACACTAACTTCAACATGGATGGGTTGGTGCACATTCTTATCATCATTATTAGCATGTTCATCAAAGATAGTTAAAAATTCATCATCAAATTCAATATCAACAAATTCAAGTGGTTTCTCATTTCTAGTTTCTTTCTTTGTTAACCTCATATTGACCATCACATAAACCAAATTATTCATTCTTTGTTGATGCAACCGGTTTCTTTTTTTGGTATGAACCTAGAAAATGAAAATAACCAAATTTAAACTATAAACTAAAACTAATAAATAAAATTTAAAATTATAATCAAAATTTAAAATTCAATTACCATTTCAAATGCACTCCAATTGCGTTCACCAGAAGAGCTACAAGTCAAACTTAAAACATGGATAGCAAACCTCTTTAGCTCAGGAGTGTAATATCCATACATATCCCACCATTGTGCCGAATGCATACTTGTTCTGTCTTTCTTTGCATACTTAGTACTAAAAAGAGGCCGTTGACAAAAATGAAAGTCGTCGGCGAATTACATGTTTAACTTGTCATTTTCGGCATCATCACTTACTAATTTTAACACACATTTTTATACTCCATTTTTAACATTAAGATTATCACCCTTAAAATGTTTTCCAAAATGATATTGAAGATTAAGATAATACACATCCGCATGCAAAGGCATATGGAGCTTACCCTTCCAACGTTCATTAATAATCTTTTATATGGGTTCATAACTACAATACACATAAATAACATCTAGTTTATATCAAACAATATGATTTAAAATGTAAGAAAACTAACTAACAAATAACTTAATTATAATGATGTGTTCATATATTAAATTTCAAATGACACAATAATTATGAGAAGTTGTAAACTTACTATATCTAAATGTTGCTGAAATTGATTTGAATATTTTTTTTCCGCAAGAATCCATCGCCTCATAAATGAAACCCATGACGACTTTTACGTCAGAATGAACAAGAACCAGACCGTCCATCATCAGTCCCATTCTCAGCCATAAATGTGAATCTAACAAAGAAAAAAATAATCAAATTCAAATAATAAATTTTAATTAAAAGTCAAACAGTGATTTAAAGCCTAAACTCTTAGTTTATCTTTTTAATCATGTGTGTAACACACACACACACAAATATTTACATACAAAAATGATATTAAAAAATACTCTTGATTAGAACGAGTGAAATAAACTATACAACTTTAAAAATTGTACATATTATATTTATATATAAATCGTTCTACTATAGAGAGAACTACATCTAAAAAATATAATAAACAAAAAGAAAAGAAATTGTAGATACTAATTCTTGAAACATTTTTACCTTTTTATTGGTAGTTAAAGCGTAGTAGTGGGAGATGAACAAGACATAGAAAAGGCAAGGGTGACCGACCGCACAATGGAGATAGTGGAATATCGAGAGTCGTACCTTAGAGTTAAAAAAAAAAAAATGATTTTCAATGCTCTCGTAAATGAAAATTCTATTGTCTAATCAAAAATAGGTTATATTTAAAGTGAAAAAAAAAACAATAAAGTAAGAGAAGTTTTATTTGACTGACTTTTAAAATTTCAAGAAAAAAATATGATTCAAAGATTTTACGCGATATTTCAAATTTCAGAGAAATTTAAATCATGTCGTTCTATTATACATTTTTACTTAAAAACAATTTAACCTGCAATTTAACACCAAATGTCAACCTAAAAACGCAAAATCGAAAAATTTAGGTTTTAAATCGGAATTTTATCAACCTTGGGATCCACATAATTTTCGCTCAACGTTTCCTCGTATCATTATTGGACTTCCATATCTTTGTAGTTTATGATTGGTCAAAAACAATTTCAATCTTAAAATTTTATAAAAGTATTTTGATTTAAATTTTATTTTGTATAACCAGAACAATAAAATCATCAAATATTTCAAACTTTAGTTTTGTCACACAAATAACTTCAAACTTTATTTTTGTCACCACTCATAACTTTTCCCATGTGTAAAGCGTTGAAGAATCAAGGTGACATCTACTCTACAAACTTGAGAAAGAGTTAGCGACATCGATCACAAAGCGATATTTGACATCAGCTTTGCTAAGCCTTTCCATTGCTGTGTTGATTTGGTCCATCTTAATCAGCTCAATATCAGCAGTTATGTTGTGCTTGCCGCAGAAATCCAGCATCTCCTGAGTCTCCTTGATCCCTCCGAAGTTGCTCCCTCCTATAAGCTTCCGTCCTACAACCAAGACATTCGACATGTGAAAATTTAGGTATTTAATCGGCCAAATTTATGGGCTTAAGTTTCAGATTTTTGCAGGCCACAGACTCATTCTTGGTTTAAACAGCAATTCAGATTTATGTCTGAATAAACATAGAATTACTGATGGTTTACCTCCAATTAACGGAAAAACAGGGAGCTCAAGGGGCTTGTTAGGCAACCCCACAGTGACCAGTTTCCCATTCAGCTTCAACAGGCCAAGCAGTGGCAACAGAGGATGAACAGCAGAAATAGTGTCTATGATATAATCGATGGTTCCTGCAGCAGTCTGCATAAAATGCATACCAAAGTACAAATGCATTATAAGCAGATATGCATAGTCATTCAATCATTATTTTACTATTGACTATCATGGAGAAGCAGCTCATTCCAATGATCCGGCTAACAGAAAACTAAGGTTTTTTCATGTTCAGTGTTCTACACGCCATATTAATGTATTCAAGCTTCTAACGGGATCTCAAAACACTTTCTATTGGACTATTCTTTCATTTCTCATTGACAGTTAGTGTAACTCAATAATTTGATTATACCTTAAGAAATATTTCAACATAGCTCATATATAGACACTATTCCAAGGCACAGAGTTGAATATCCTTGGTAATTCATATAGAGCTGTATTATGAAGTACCAGTAAAACAGCTAAAAGCCTAACCTAGATGAACCAGATTGCTACAAAAGTTAAAAGTTTTGTATCTTACTTACCTTCAGTTTTTCAGGATCACTGGAAACAAGGAAAGCATCAGCCCCAAGTTTGTCAATGGCCTCTCTTTCTTTGTTTGGAGAGGTACTAATGACGGTAACCTTCAGCCCAAATGCTTTGCCAAATTTGATTGCAACATGACCTAACCCACCAAGCCCTGCCACTCCCAAATGTTTGCCTGGCTCAGTCATGCCATAATATATCATCGGGCTATACACGGTGATCCCAGCACACAACAGCGGAGCACCAGCATCAAGGGGTAAGTTGTCAGGAAACTGTAGTATATAGCGCTGGTGAACAACCACAGAATCAGAATAGCCCCCCTGGGTTCTTGTCCCCTTATAAGGAGAGTTATAGGTGAACACAATTTTAGGACAGTGATTCTCTAGATCCTGCTGGCAATTCTCACAAGTTTGACAAGATTCCACCATTACACCAACACCAACTTTATCCCCGGCACGGAAATTTTTCACATTGTCTCCAACTTTTGTCACAACGCCAACAATCTCATGCCTGAAAAACACAGTCACAAAACTCAATGTATGTTATGCAAGTATAACTAATCAATTTTTAAACTATCGACTCAAAAGTTACAAACCCTAACTTCAAATTAAAATCAATTCTTTTCGAGACTAATCAGGCCTATCAAAATTCAAAATTAATTCTATCCGTCAATAAATAAATAAATAAATAAACAAACGGATCAATATAACAAGACAAGAGCTAGTTTAATACTATTTTAGTTTCATCATTAGAATATAAAATAATAATTTAAAAACACCAGATCGTTAGAGTCGCATAATACACAGTAGCATGATATATTTCAAACTGCAAAAGAAAGAAAATATCATACCCGGGAACAACAGGGTAAGTAGTGAAACCCCAATCGTTCTTGATAGTGTGTAGATCAGAATGACAAACACCACAAAACAGAATTTTAACTGTTACATCATCTTCGCCATTTTCCCTACAAACAAAAACCACTTCAAAAATCCATAACTGCAAAATGAAGTAAGTTAAAATGAGAGAATAAAAGAACCTTCTGGAGAAATGAAACGGAGAGAGTATGCCAGAAGTGTCAGTAGCAGCCCAGCCAAAAGCTTTGATTGGAAGTTCGGTTTCGTGAGATTTGGCCATTTCTTGTATTCTACTGTTGCACTCTGTTTGGGCGTTTTGTATTCTACAGGTGTGTGAGCATATATGTAAGTAGATGGAAGGAGTAAAGATGAACGCACCAACTAGAATCAATGCACATTAAATATCTTTCGCAGAATTGAAAAATTCTAGTCCACCGCTTAGATGGACAATCAGTAATCATTTTACATCTTGGGTGGCTCGCCTCCTTCCCTAATCAGGTTCGTAATAAATTAGGAGAATTAAGAAAGAAAAAATGTTTATTCTTATAGTATTAAATAAATTTGATACTAGTTTTTATAATTTTATTTTTTACTCGTTTGAGATAATGTCCAAATTTGTATGTTTTTTTTAATGTGAATTCGGTTTTTATTGATGGATTTGGTATCTCATTGTTTAAAGATGTGATTTGTGTACTATTTATGAAGTTTATGCATCTCTCTTATTTTATAAATCAGTATAGATTATTAATGTGAATTCTTTTGTTTTATAAATTGGTATAGATTATTAAAGTTTAATCCAAGATGATATTAAAGTCTATCATGGATTTATTGTTAGACTTCTTGCATCATCTACGCTTCAATTTCATTGTGATTGTGTTTATAAGTGAGAATAATTATCATCTTAAAAACAAGTTTTGTGTGGTTAAATTAGGTTCAAATATAATTCAAAAATATTAAACCTCTGTTGAGTCACATGTTATTAGATTATTTTTAGGTTATTCACCATTTATATACATGCTCTAAATATCTATTATTGAGTGTGAGGAGTTGTGTTAAAGAGTACCATGTTGACAAGGATATTTTCTCAATGTATGTTTATAAGCGGGAATAATCTTCACCTTACAAGCTAATTTTGTAAGGTTAATATTTTCTATGCTTATATCAGAGCCTATCGATCGAGACATATGCCACTCACCGTTTATATCTACGCACCGAGTTTAATATTGTTGGGTGTAGGGGTGTATTGAAAAAATCTCAACACTCACATTGGTTACATATGGAGTCTTGAAAAAATATATAAAGTGATATTTCTCATCTTACAAGTTGGTTTTTAGGATGAGTTAGATCCTACCCAAATTCTAACATAGTATCAGAGTTGGGTTAAGGATTGCAATATGTGGAAATCGAACCTAAATTTTACACTATGCGTGAGATATGGTGTTGAAGTTGTGTCGTAGTCCCAAATTTCTTAGGTTCTTAAATTGTTAGGATGTTTAAATATGTGAGGAAAATTTCACCCGTTAAGCTAGCTTTTGAGCTAAAATTCAAATATATTTAACAACCAACAATATATGACATATGGAAGCAACCTATCTATCTAAATTGTTAGACTTATCGGACACTCCTATGACACAAATGATGTTATCCATATTTGAAGGACAATCTAAGGATGATGGATCACGTTCTAACATTATACTAGATTAGAGTTTACCAAACACCCAAGAATTGTTGGATCAAGCAAATAGTTAGGCTAATTAATGTTTGACCATATGCAACAAATGTCACCAAAGAAGGTATAATACTATATAATCGTAAGATGAATTTGCCTTATTAGTACATCTGATATATTTGATTGGACCCTGGAGACCGTCAAATTGCACCATAAGAGATTTTTTTTACACATTTATCCTTTGAGACAATTGTAATTGTTAAATATGTAATTCATTGTTTTAGAAAAATTAGATTTGATTTAGAAAGATCAGATTTAATTTAGAAATATTAGATTAGATATTTTTGGGCATTTATAGTTTGGGATTTAGCTTGAGATGCAAGTTAACCTAAATCTATAAACAAGGAGGAACCCTTTGTCATTGTAATAATCAAGTTTGATAATCACGATTTTGCAGTTGCAAAGTGATAATAAATTCCACAGTTGTGGGCAGAGAGTCACTCTGCAGTTCATACTCATCTTCTTTAAATGTGTTCTTGTTTTTGTTCATTGTCATTACATAACAATCTTGAGATCAAGGTTGAGAAGAATTCACCATAGGTTGTGGAGTTGAATTCCAACAATAATAAGCAAATGGTTTTATTTAAGAACAAGATTTGGTTATGCATCTGACCTTATGTTTTGATGATAACAATACATAGATTCATAAAGAACAATTTTGTACCCTAATGGTTTCGTTAAGTGCGGAGATACTAGATATAAGTTTTGACTTTGGTAAAGTGATGTGTGACATCGTCAAATTCTAAACCTAGTGCACTTTGACTTTGAGATGTGTGTTCTACAAGATTGCTCAACGCTTTTGAAGAAGTCAAGTTTTGAAGTCTTGCGCTCAATACTCTGATGACCAAGGTTTTGAAGTTTTTGAAGACCAAGCTCTGAAGATTATGAAGACTAGGTTTTGAAGACTCTAAAGACCAAAGTTCTAAAGATTCTAAAGACAAGGTTTTGAAGACTCCCTCACACAGACTCTGATTCTTCTTCTATGCATGCTTCATTATCTCTCTATCTAAATCCTCTGAATAATTGAAGATAAGATCATAAAGTTTTACATGAGAAAATAGTACACAGTACAAGATCAATATTCCTTCCACTACACTGATTTTTTGGGAAAATGATTATACTATTGTACCATTGTGTGTCCCATTTTTACAGACTGTTATGCAAGGATACAACTACATTTGTGTATTCCATTTCTACCCTCCAATGGATCTTTTCATTGTCTGTATAAAGGAGTCTTAGAAGAATAGAGCAGTGCTAACCCTAAGAGAGTATCTTTTACGTGAGCACTACATACTGTTAAATATTTGAGAGAAAGAAAAACAAACACACAAGTAACTTTTGTTCATATACTTTAATAGAAAATATTGTTGTGTGAAATTCTTTTGTGTAATCTGCTTTCTTAGAAGCATCTTGTAACACACTTTGTATCTCAACTCTTGAGTTGTATTTCCTTGAGTGACTAGGGTAGTCAAAGTTACTCAAGAAGACACTGATAATCATTTTTTGTGGTTGTAATCAAGTTTGGTTATAATGGATTAAGTTATTTTGATAAGGCAAAATCACCTTGACGGGTGGACTGGAGGTACCTTTGTTAATAAGGAACCAGGATAAAAATAATTGTGTTCATTATTTGAGTTCTTAGTTCTCTCTTTGTTGTTTTGGGTAGCGAAAGTTTTCATTATAGAAGCCCAATTCAATTCTTGTGTTTCTATTATCTTCAATTGCCATCAGAGCTCCAGTTCTGGTATTAATTGTTTATTAAACACTTTACCGTGTTAAATAAAGATCTAGTTTGTGAAACACAATGGCAAGAGTCCTTCCACCAGTTGCATCCGCTGAAAGAGATCACTATAGTGCCAAACCCCCAGTTTTTAATGGAAAAAAATTTGACTATTAGAAAGATAGAATTGAAAGTTTCTTTCTTGGCCATGATGTGGATCTATAGGATTTGGTAGTTGATGGCTACATTTATCCTGTTGATAACAGTGGCAACAAGTTAGAAAGAAGGGTGATAACTGAGCAACAAAAGAAAGATTGCAAGAGTCATCATAAATCTAAAACCACTATGTTGAACGCCATATCATATACTGAGTATGAGAAGATCATAAATAGATACACAACTAAGTCTATAATTAATTGTTTAAAGATGAATCATGAAGGAAATGCTTATGTGAAAGAAACTAAGGCACTTGCCTTGATACAAAAATACAAAGCCTTCAAAATGGAGGATGTTTAAATAGTTCATAACATGTTCTCAAGGTTTCAGACTCTATTTGCAGGACTGAAGGTTCTGGATAAAGGATACTCTACTGCAAATCATGTTAAGAAGATTATCATAAGCTTTCCCAAGAGATTGAGGCCTATGGTAACTGCTCTGAAGCTGTCTAAAGGTCTAAACAACACCACTCTTGAAGAACTTATAAGTTCTTTGAGAAGTCACTAGATAGATCTTGAAGAGGATGAATCTCAAATAGAAAATGAATTTATGCCTCTGAAATCTATGGGAAAGTATGAAAAGACTAAATCCTTTCAAGATGAAGAAGAAGAGGAATCTAAGGAAGATTTTGAAGAAGAAAATGAGTTGTCTCTTCTCTCCAGAAGAGTTAATCAACTCTAGAATAAAAGACAAAGCAAGTTTAGAGGATCAATAAGGATATGTGGATGGTTTAAGTCTACATCTGGACAGAAGAAATTAGGTGTTGGCTAAGACATTACTTGCTTTGAGTGTAAAGAGCCAAGTCACTACAAGAATGAATGTGCTAATCTAAAGAAAGACAAACCAAAAAAGAAAGACTTCATAGGGAAGAAGAAATGTTTGATGGCTACCTGGGATGACTTTGAATCCTCAAGAGATGACTCTAAGGAAGAGCAAGCTAACGTGATGCTGATGGCATGCATATATAAGCATCTGATGATAAGACACAACGAAAATCAGAATTAGAATCTGAGTTAGACTCTGAAGAGGTATTTATTAATCTATCTTGTTCTGAATTAAAATCTTGTTTATTTAAAATTTTGGAAAAGTATCAGAACCTTCAAAGCAAATACAAGGATATTAAGCAATCCCATGTATCTAAATTTGAAGCACATAGTAAGCTTAAGAAAGATTTCTCCACTATGAATGAAGAAATTTTATTCTTAAAAATAAAAACTCTGCACTTCAAAGCAAGATTTCTAAACTTGATGAAGAAATTATTTTAAAAGCTTCTGTGAATTCTGTCATACCCCAAATTTGTCCTACCTTTCTTAGCTTTCTCTTTGTAAGATCATCTGGCCTTTGGCCATGATCCTTTGAGAATTATATCATATAATCTTACGTGCATGCTCATTATGACTAAACAGCTTCTGCAGGTGCATTAAATTCAAGTGGATATGGTACTCATTCTCACGGTCAATTACTTCAAGACATGACTAATTGATTCTGATTCAAAGTGGTCATAGGGTTTCTATTTGATTTGAGCTCCACTTGTAGAAATCTTTCTCATTCTTGGGCCATCCTTGGATCAATGCTTTGAGGATATCTTGGATGGGTTTTATGGCCATTTCTCATT